CCCCAAAACCCCAAAACCCCAAAACCCCAAAACCCCAAAATATTTCAACAAATTGATATTAAAAAGCCAGTTATAGTCTAAAAATGTCCTTTTCAAGAGATAATATTATTAAGTTTCATGTTCACTTGAACCCAATAAGGGCTAAATTTCGGCCCCAGAAGGCACTCAAAAGAGGTATATCTTCTCTAACACCGTTTAGAGACCATCTGCAGCCCTAAGAACCTCCCGAATTCCCCTAACCCACAGCATGTACCCCCTAAAGCTCTCTTTCCGACTCAGCCATCTCTTCTGCATAAAAGTCAGCCTGTTCCAGATCCCCTCAGTGTGTCTAAGCCCAAGGTATTTCACGTTCAAATTTCTTCATGATTTTAGACAATTTTTTAAAAATCCAGCCAAGACCCACAAGAAAAGAGTCATATTCAACAAGTACAAATCCCCTGCCAAAGACGTAAGCAAACCACTCAGTTCCCAACCCAACAACTCTGGCTTGACTAATAATTAAGATCTAAGCAAGAATAAGCCAACTGAACTTACAAATGTGAATACATCTCTCTATAAAAGCACTAAATACCTCCCTAGGGATCTTTAGACCTCACTCGGGGGAAGCCAATGAAGCATCTAGCCGGTCATTACTCTATCCGAGGGATTTCTTTGGGCCTGGGAGGTTCCAGAGTTCACTCTGGGCACTATTTCTGAAGATATTTCAGCCCTCATTAGCTTAAGTAGAACCCTGAAGAGGCATAGTGGCATTATCTACCAATTCTATAAGGGATATTGGAAAGTTCCATTCTTTTGAACGTTATAGTTCTAATGGAAGTTAATATAGAGCCAGTCACAAAGTGAAGATTCAGAAGAGTTAGAAGAAAAACATAATTTTCTAGGTATTTAAGAGGCGGAAAACAGATGAGAGAGTCGAGAAACAAGCAAAGATCTGAGCAGGTTCTGTGAGTTTTTAGTTGTTATTTTGGATACTGGAAGGATGTTGATGGTGTAGAGTTGATCAGAACTGCCAGACAGCGGATAACCCGACCTTAGAATGAGACTCGATTGATAATACCTACCAAATCCAGCAAATAGAAAGTAATATCAGTGTAATTTTTAGGAAAAGATATCAAGACTTATTTCCAGAAGCCCACAAGCTTATCAAGAAGGTGAAGCAGGCCTGGCAATTCCTTTATAATCAAGAAGGCATCAGACACTGGTGGCGATCTCTCAAGGAGGAGGAACTGAATGCCTCCTAAGAAGGTAAACTGGTTCATGACGAACCAGATTAGGTCAAATAAGTTGGCTAAGATACCCAAAAATCGATCTAAAAGGTTTGCACTTTACAAAAAACTTTCTAGCAGTTAACTTGCTAATTCTAGCTTAGAGTCTTTCTTGCTAGCTTTGAGAAGTTATCTTCTCATTAGGTGTTTAACCAAGCATCTAGGAATTATAAATAAGCTTTCAATATCATCACAAAATTGCCTGTTTTCCCAAACAGGGAGGTTTGCTCCCAAGACCAAGCAGAGGCAAAGATTGATAGTCAAAGGTCTAAAGTGAAGAGACCCTAAAATTTTGAACCAAAAATGAAATTTCAGCATGGTCAAGATCTTCAATGTAATTTCTAGTCTCTGATTACATCTAGCTGCTTAAGAATAAACTAAAGAATCGGATGAAAAGAAAGAACAGGAACTCCAGAGGTAAGTAGCAGTTGAGACGTTATTTAGAAAGGTCAGCTCATAAGACTCCTCAAAGGAGCTACACCAACATCCACTCGCCACAGAGGAGGTACCTACATCTCTCTCCATTCGGAAGAGGGACCTTAACAGGGGTGGGTAGTTTGGAAACTAGTATTCACAGATAATTCTTTCAGAGAATTTATCATTTTTCATGCATTTTTACTACCATAGGGTTAAAGTTTAATAAGATTGGGGTTTTGGGGTTTTGGGGTTTTGGGGTTTTGGGGTTTTGGGGTTTTGGGG